GAGGTGTGGCTGCCCTGGGGGGGGGAGAGGTGTGGCTGCCCTGGGGGGGGGAGAGGTGTGGCTGCCCTGGGGGAGGAGAGGTGTGGCTGCCCTGGGGGAGGAGAGGTGTGGCTGCCCTGGGGGAGGAGAGGTGTGGCTGCCCTGGGGGGCACTGGAGGAGCCTTTGGCTTCCCCTGGAGCAGGGGCCTCTGACCTTGCAGCACTGTGGGCTCTCCACCCCCAGCCCTGCCCCTGCTCCCGCCCTGCATCTTTCGGCCTCTGAGGCGTCCCCCCGAGGGCCCTGGACAGAGGTGCCTCCCTCCTGGGCCTTCACCAGCGCCGCAGCTGAGTGCTGCAGCGTGGGGTCGAGGGCTACCAGGCAGGCAGGAACGGATCCCTCTGTGCCTGTTTCCGCGCCTGTAAAGTGGACTTGGCTGATGCACTACCCTCCCCCACCCCAGCCTGCTGCCTGAGTCCCTCCCTCTCCCCAGGGTACCTGGTGGTGCCGGCGGGCGGTGGTGGCACCTTCTTGGGCGGCTTCTTTGTGAACAAGCTGAGGCTCCGGGGCTCCGCGGTGGTCAAGTTCTGCCTGCTCTGCACTCTCGTCAGCCTGCTGGGCATCCTCGTCTTCTCCCTGCACTGCCCCGGCGTGCCCATGGCGGGTGTCACGGCCAGCTACAGTGGGAGGTGAGGGCCAGGCGGCGTCTGGGTACGGGTCTGGGCCCTGTGCAGCCGAGGTCCCTCGGGATGGCTGAGGAGGGGCGAAGCACTTGGGGGAGGTGGTGTTCTGGAAAGGGCTATGGTGCAGGACAGCAGCAAGGGCAACACCCGCTCAGCGTCCACGTGAAAGGGCATCGCGCAGCGTCAGATGCACCTATGCTCAGGTCCCGGCTGGGCACCCAGCAGTCTCGTGCCTCTCTGGGGCTCAGCCCTCTGCTCTGTAGCTCTGTCAAATGGAGCCACAGCCCCAGCGTACAGGGTCCTTGAGGCTGTTTTCGCTCAGTGACATGAACAGTGTCCCAGGCTGGGCTCCCAGCGTTGCCGTGTGTTGGGAATGGGAGGAGACCTGCTGGTCAGGTGGCAATTAGGGAATATCCAAAATGCATGCGGGCAGCCTGCGCCTGGGCCCCGCCGTGCAGGCCCTGGGAGTGCACCTGCAGGCGCTGTGCAGGGCTGAGATGCACAAAGCGGCCACCCTGTCATTGTCGGAAATGCGAATGCTGAAAACCACGTCAGAGTCCGGAGGCTGGACGGGGTCACCACGCTGTCCTCACAACAGAGGCCCTGAAGGGATGGAGGAAGCTCGTCCTGGGCCACCTCCAGGACACGTGGTGAAGCAGGAAAAAGAAAGGAGTTGGACAGTGGGCGCAGCATCCCTCGATTTGAGGGAGAAGTGCACACGTCTGTGACGGCCAAGGGGCGTGTGTGTGTGGCGACGCCTGGGGTCGCACGGCCGGCCTGTGCTGGAGAACCGAGGACCAGGGTGGGGCTGGGGCCGAGGCTGCCTTTGTCCACCTGGCACTGTTTCTGTCGTAACGAGCGCACTTGACCCATATGAACGTGTTGCCATCCAAACCAAACCGATGAACCTGGGGCCTGTGCGCTGGGTGGACTGCAGTGGAGGGCATGGGCGTACCCTGCGTGAGAAGGAGAAATTCTGTCACCAGGAGGCAGCGCCCAGCGTGCTGCGGGTGGCACAGGCTTGGCAAGTTTGGAGACCCAAAATGCCGGCTGGGGGCGACGAGACCCGAGGCTGACCCCGTGCCTTCCGGGCGCCCGCCTGCCCCTGGCCCCAGCTCCACCACCCCGTGTCCCCTCTGCAGCCTCCTTCCCGAAGGCCACCTGAACCTAACAGCTCCTTGCAACGCAGCCTGCAGCTGCCGGCCAGAGCACTACAGCCCCGTGTGCGGCTCTGACGGCCACGGGTACTTCTCGCCGTGCCATGCGGGGTGCCCTGCGGCTGCCTGGACCAGCGCGGATGGCCAGGAGGTGAGTGTGGCTGCTGCCCGCGGCCCTGCCCTCGCGCAGACCCTGGGACGGGCCGGCCTTCCCCTGTAATCCGCGCTGTTGTTACGCTTCCCAGGTGTACCGAGACTGTAGCTGTGTCCCTCAGAACCTTTCCTCTGGTTTTGGCCATGCCACTGCAGGGAAATGCACCTCAACTTGTCAGAGAAAGCCCCTCCTTCTGGTTTTCATATTCGTTGTAATTATCTTTACATTCCTCAGCAGCATTCCTGCACTAACAGCGACTCTACGGTAAGCGGGGCCGGGCGCGCTTGTCCACAGCAGCCCCGGGCGGAGCTCCGCGGATCCCGCCACGCGGGCCTGTCTGACACTGGCGGCAGGAGAGACCTCACTGTCTCTGACCTCTGACAAGGGGCTTCCCACTTGGGGAGGTGACGATGTGGCTGGGTGCTGGGCCAGGAGGCCGCTGGCCTGGGGACTGACTTGGCATGCTGCCCCACTTCTGTGGGCGCTGACGCTGCATTTGGTTTTCTATTGCAGGTGTGTCTGTGACCCTCAGAGATCTTTTGCCCTGGGAATCCAGTGGATTGTGGTTAGAATACTAGGTACTGTGTAGTGAGGAAGCCGTGGTCAGTTGCGCAGTGCTCACTGCACAACGGCTCGAGCAAGTGTGTAACCACCTAGCAGATGTGCCTCCCAGCAGGAGGCTGTGCCCGCCTGGGAAGGGCTCCATTCCCTAACTGTCCACTAGAGGGGCCCCTCGTCATTTATTTGCCCAAAGACTTTCCTGGGCAATGAGGGGAAACTCCCAGCCCCAATACCCCGAATACCCAAACAAAGGAATATTTGAGCCCGCTGAGAACTCTGATGGCCAGTATCACTTTCCCAGAGCCCATGATTCCAGGCCTCTTAGCTGCCCGCACCTGCCTGGTCCCTGACTGCCAGGAGCGTGGGTGCTGAGTGTGGGTGCTGAGTGAGGGTGCTGAGTGTGAGTGCTGTGTGGGTGCTGAGTGAGGGTGCTGAATGAGGGTGCTGAGTGTGGGTGCTGAGTGAGGGTTCTGAGTGTGGGTTCTTAGTGAGGGTGCTGAGTGTGGGTGCCGAGTGTGAGTGCTGAGTGTGGGTGCTGTGAGGGTGCAGAGTGTGAGTGCTGAGTGAGGATGCTGAGTGTGGGTGCTGAGTGTGAGTGCTGAGTGTGGGTGCTGAGTGAGGGTGCTGAGTGAGGGTGCTGAGTGAGGGTTCCAAGTGTGAGTGCTGAGTGGGTGTTGAGTGGGTGCTGAGTGAGAGTGCTGAGTGTTGGTGCTAAGTGAGGGTGATGAGTGAGGGTGCTGAGTGTGAGTGCTGAGTGTGGGTTCTTAGTGAGGGTGCTGAGTGTGGGTGCCGAGTGTGAGTGCTGAGTGTGGGTGCTGAGTGTGAGTACTGAGTGAGGGTGCTGAGTGAGGGTGCTGAGTGTGAGTGCTGTGTGGGTGCTGAGTGAGGATGCTGAGTGAGGGTGCTGAGTGTGGGTGCTATAAGGGTGCTGGGTGTGAGTGCTGAGTGAGGGTGCTGAGTTGGTGCTTAGTGTCGGTGCTCATTGTGGGTGCTGAGTGAGGGTTTTGAGGGTGGGTGCTGAGTGAGGGTGCTTAGTGTGGGTGTTCTGTGGGTGCTGAGTTAGGGTTCTGAGGGTGGGTGCTGAGTGTCGGTGCTGAGTGGCCTTCTCTCCGCAGGGGGCATCCCGGGGCCCATCGTCTTCGGCTGGGTGATCGACAAGGCCTGTCTGCTGTGGCAGGACCAGTGTGGCCAGCAGGGCTCCTGCCTCGTGTACCAGAACTCCGCCATGAGCCACTACATACTCATCATAGGGCTCCTGTACAAGGTGAGCAGGCCCAGGGGAGGGACCGAGCGTCTGCCCTGAGGGCGGCTGGGGCTCCGGACACCCCGCAATCTTCCAGCAGCTTGGACCACAGCCCCGGACATCACAGGCGTCCTGTGACCGGTTTCTAGAAGGGGCCCTTCCCACATTCCTCATGAGCTGGTTGTGGGGGGAGGCGGGCCAGCCACAGGGGCTCTGGGGTTCACTGTCCAGGCCCCCAGCAGCTCCAGCAAAGCCCAGGCTCAGGCACTGCTCCCTCCCCCACCTCCCGGGGCTGCCCCTCCACAGCATGGCCTTGCACTTGCCTGGGGTGCCCGTTAACTAAAAGCTTTGCAGAAAGAAAAAGCAGCCCCTCCCATCAGAGCGGCTCCACTGGCGTCCACTCTGGGGCTTGGGCTGGGGCCGGCGGGCAGGCTGCAGCCTCTCCATGCTCCGTGTGCCTTCAGTTCCCCTGGATCTCTTAGCCTGGCCCTCATTTTTCAAGTGCACAAAAACTTTCTGTTGTGACTCTTGGCGTCTGCAGCCTGGGAGGAAGCTCAGGATTGTTTGGAATTTGCCCCCATTAGAGGATAAAGCACAAAAGCCTCTAAAAAAAATGCGGTCCCAGGGCCAGCTCTTCAGAGGATCTTGACGCTCTTCCTTGGGTGACAGACCAGGAACCTGCAGCTGTCAGGAGTCCCTGGCCACAGGCTGCCAGGAGGGAGGTTAGAGAAAGGGAAGGAACCCAGCTGGTTCACCTCCCCTGGGATTAGCCCAGAATAGGCCAGTCTGCATAGGGTTAATTTAAAGACAAATGCCTCAGTTTCCCCTCATCTGAGGTTTCACTTTCCACAGTTTCAGTTACCTGAGGTCAACCACAGTCAGAATATAGTAACTAGGAAATTCCAGAAGCAAACAGTTCCTAAGTTTTAAAGCACGCACCGTTCTGCACACTCTGGTGAAACCTTGATCTGTCCTGCCCAGGACTCGAATCCTCTCTTTGTCCAACTTTGGAAGAAGGTCAGAAATTACTCTGCAGGGAGCTTTGGGGATATCGGATATGAAGGCACAAGCCCTCTGTGATATGATTTTTGCTTTGGCATAAAATAACTGACGACAGGCTCATGTCTGTGATCCCAGCACTTTGGGAGGCCGAGGCGGGCGGATCATCTGAGGTCAGGAGTTTGAGACCAGCCTGACCAACATGGAGAAACCCCGTCTCTACTAAAAATACAAAAAATTAGCCGGGTGTGGTGGTGCATGCCTGTAATCCCAGCTACTCGGGAGGCTGAGGCAGGAGAATCACTTGAACCCAGGAGGCGGAGATTGCGGTGAGCCGAGATCGTGCCATTACACTCCAGCCTGGGCAACAAGAGCCAAACTCCGTCTCAAAAACTAAAATAAAATAGAAAAATAATGGAGGACCCTCTGTGAGGCGCGTCTCTGCTCAGGCTTGGGAGTGGTGACGTTTGGGGAGACCCAAAGGCATGTACACATCAGGAAATTGACGAAATGACTTCATAAGACATAACCTTGCCCAGCGTGTGCAGCCCGTCCACACCATGGCCTGTTAGACACTTTGCAGCCGGCCTGGTCACCACACCATCACCGGATCGCAATGCCATGTTCCAGCCACACCCACTTTGCCTAATCATGGCCGAAAAACACCAGAGCGCTGACGCCACCATACAGCTCCGCCAACGGGAAGCCGGAGGCGCTTCCTTCAGTGAGAAGCTGTGGTTCCCTGGCTCACGTGTCCACAGGGGTCTCAGTGTCTGCGGATGAGGGGGCTGCGGTACGTTCCCAGGGAGCCGCCCGAGAGTCTCTCTTTGCTGTGCTGAGTGAATCCCCTAGCCGGGGGCAGCAGGCAAGGGCCCCGCACACACAGCCACCCCGGGCCCAGCACAGCCAGCGGGAGCCGTGTCCAGAGGGTCAGAGCTGGCCTCAGCCACGCATGTGTCCATGTTCATTTTAGCGGGGAGCACACTGTCTCCTTATAAACCCCGCATGTCCACTTCGTCCGGCGCCGAGTCAAAACAGCCTCCCTCCACGAATGCAGCCTCAGGGCCGTCAGCCAGGCTGACACTGCAGGTGGCACCGTGGGTGTTTCTGGGCCACGCCCAGCGTGGGAATCATAGTGGTACACGTGCACTCTGCGTGTGCTTGGTGGCAGCATCCGAGCTCGGACCGCGCAGTCTTCGGGGCCCACATGGGATTCCTGCCACGTCATCCTCATGCAAGGTCAGTGCAGCCCCTGGTTGCTGACAAAGAAACCAAGACACTGACAGTTAAGAACTGCCCGTCGTGACGGCACCAGGGCTTGGCTGTGGCAGCTGCGGGCAACCAGCTCTGTGTGAGGTTCCTGTGGCCGCCACAACAAGGGACCGCAAATGAGTGGCCTAACCTGGCAGAACCAGATTCACTGGCAGGGCTGGCGCCAGAGTCAGAATCAAGGTGGGGGCAGGGCTGGCTCCTCCCGGGCTCCGGCTCTGCCTGCAGCTGCACGTGGCCTTTCCCTCCGTGTCCCTGCCTCGAGCCTCTCCGTTCTCTCCTGAGGACACCAGTCATTGGATCTGGGGCCCTTAGATCCAGGATGATCTCATCTCAAGACCTTAATTACAGCTGCAAACACCCTATTTCCAAAAAACGTCCCATTCACAGGTGTCGGGCACTGTTTAACCAGGACAAGCCCCCAGTCATGGGCCTCTGTTTTTAGTCAAAGGGCATGTTTCACTGTCTCCTTAGCAACAGTGGTGTCTGCTCTAGGAACCGGTTATATGGGAAAGGTACCCTCAGAGCAGGTTGGGTTCCGTGGACCTGGTGAGGGCCCTGCAGGCCGGGGGACAGGGACAGGACTGAGACAGGCCCCGAGTGTCCAGAGGCTCCGGCCAGGCTCCCCACGAGGTCAGCGGGCTCCTCCTCTCTTCGCAGGTACTGGGTTTCCTCTTCTTTGCCACAGCCTACTTCCTATATAAGCCTCTGTCGGGGTCTTCAGATGGCCTGGAAGCTTCTCTGCCCAGCCAGTCCTCGGCCTCCGACAATGCCACAGATACCCAGCTCCAGAGCGGCGTCTGACCACCACCCACGGCCATGGACACGGTGGCCACTCAGCATTTCCTGAGGATGGAACAGTGCCCTTGGGCGACCCAGTCACATGGAAACCAGTTTGACCTGTGGCTGAAACTCTGCTGTGACCTTCTGTCCTGGAGCTTTGCAGCCCTGCGGTGGGTGGGAGCACCTTGCATAAACTGATATTTATGGACACATTTTGCATCAGAATGTATTTATCGAATGTGTTTTATACCTGATTGTGTGTGGTGTGCATGAGGGCAAGCCCCGCGGGGGCCGTGAATCCCATGGGGAGGATGTGGGCCTGCAGCCTGAGGAAGGCTCGTATGTCCTCAGTTAAAACTGTGCAGCTGTAAATATATTTTGTACTTAAGCCTGCGTCCCCGGACTGTGTGCTTTATTTCTGTGAGTTTGCAGAGTTTGCTGGTCTCACCGTCCTTGGCCTGGCCTTTGGGACTCTGCTCCAGCAGAGGGAGGCTCCCGCCTCCAGTCCAGCCTCAGGCCCCAAGCCTGGCTGCCTGCCTCAGTGAATGGGAATGACCTGGGCTCTCTTTGCACATCGGAACTGAGGGCGCAGGTGGCCGGCCACTGCTGTTAACACAAAAGTGTGTGCATGCGTGTGTGTGTGAGCGCGCACAGGTGCATGTGGTGTGCGTGCATGCATGCACGTAGGTGCCTGTGTGTGTGCATGTGCACATGGGTGTGTGGGAGTCAGCACAGCCTCTCTTGTTTGCAAGGCTCTTGGACAGCCATGTCTCATCCCAGGAGGGTGGTGAGTCACGGGTGGCAGCCCTTGTGGTCGCAAGGCCTGTGGAGCGGCTCTGGGGGCCGCTGGCGACACGGACCCCACTGGGAGAGCCCCATGGGAACGAGGGGAGACACAGGCCCTGACCCTGGCCACCATGTCCCCAGGGTGACAGTCTGAGGTCAGGAGGAGGCTGGGAGGTTTGGGAACCAAGGAAAAGGCCATTGGAGATGCCCCGTGGGATGGAAGGCACCTGGATGGGAGCGGTGCAAACAGTGGGCAGAAGACCCAGGTACCGGGAAGACCGTGACCCCGCGCATCCCATGAGATCCGGGGAGTCTGTTACCGTTCCCTGAATGTCCACATCTGACCAAGTGGTGATCAGGCTGGGCGGGACTGACGTCGGAAGTGTGGGGTTTTGCTCTTGAGGGAAGCTCCTCGCCACCCCCTCCTGACCTAGGTTGGCCCCTGGGCAAGGGCTGAGCCTTGAGTGACCCCGGTCAGGTCTCCAGCGGCGCTGGGAACAACAGGAGGGGTGAAGGACAGGTGACCAGGGCTGTGTGTCCAGGGTGTGCACAAGACAAAGAGGTGGCCCCAGGAGGCCTGTGGGGGTTCCAGTGGCACCCAGGCCACACGCCCCTCCCCAGTGGCTGCATTTTATATGATCACAGTGAGGGCCACACCGTGAGCTGCGTAGGCAGGTGTGTGGTGCTCTGCCATTTGCCATGCGTGCGGGGGACTGGGCTGCAGAGCTGCTCTGTGGTCACGGAGAGCTCCCCGGACCCGCCCCTTGTGCCACCTCCACTGCCCTTCCGGCCATCCCTGCCCCTGTGCCCACTGAGCCAGTCCCCGTCTCTGCAATGTAACTGTCTCAAGAATGCTGCTGCATGGAGTCATCCTGTGTGGGACCTTTTGGGATTGGAGTGTTCACTCAGCACAGTGCCAAGACCCACCCCAGCGACTGCGGCGTGGATGGAGATCACCACGCGCCTGCCCTTGGATTCTTTCTGTGGTGAGGACCCCACCCCACTCCAGGGCCTCCCCTGTAGCCACAGTGTCGTGGGGTGTCCCTTATGCTGTGCTGAGACACAGGATCCGAGGAGTAAAGAGACCGGACACTGAAGAAGTGGAGAAGAGCAGCTGGACTCGGGGGCCACGCCACCTGTGAGCAGAGACAGGCGAGGCCCCAAACGCTCAGAAGCGTCTGTATTTATTAGGTACAAGCAGGGGAAGGGTTGTGAGTGAGGTCATTTATAGGCTTAGTGATAGGGCATACATAACCATGTGAGTAGCAGCGAGGGGCCACCCGTTAGGTCACCTGGGCAGAGAGGTGGGCCTCCCTCATCCCTGGACCCGCCTCCCTCAGGTCCCCTGCCTCTCTCATCCCCAGGCCACCAGCTGCACTTGGACTCTGCAGCTGGCCCTGGGCATCCCCCCAGGATTGATTGGCTCTGGGAACCCTCCCCGACCCAAGTCCTGCAGTCAGCCCTGTAGAATCTGGATGTGAAAAGCCAGCGCTTCTTTTCCTCAGGCTCCCCACCCGAGGGGGAAAAATCCAACCCACCTTGGATGGAAAATGCAGTTTTTGTAGGAGATGGAACTGGAGGATACAGAGGGCAGATATGCATACGTGAGTGAAAATATACCTACATGAGTGTACCTACGTTCTTATGAAATAGAACCGTGTTGCATCACATTCCCCTCCTGATTCACGAACAGCTGGCATCAACTGCCTGGCATCCCCCAGAGCCATGTGTTGAAGACCCGGCCCTGATGGCTATGTTTGGGGGCAGGGCCTTTTGGAGTTGGTTATGCATAAGGTCATAAGGGTGGGGGCAGACCCCCCCAGGACTGGTGTCCTTAAAAGGAGAGACCCCTGCCATCCCTCACTATGGCCGAACCCTTCCCAATCACTGAGCCCTGCAGCCCCAGGGCCTCTCTGAGAACTGACCTAGTTTCAGCCCGGACAGATCAGAACCCGCAGGTGGTCCCAGCACTGTGGACAGACGCCACCGTGGCCCTCCAGGGCTCACAGCCTGCAGCGCCTGCCCATATACCTCAGTCAAGATCGCCCCAAATTAAGGTGCAATCTGGTGCTGGTGACATTTTGATCTGCCAAGTAAGGAGATAAAACACAGACAGCCATAAGGAGAGGGGACCTGGGCTCACCAGATGCTTGTGCAGAGCTCACTGCTGTGGCTGCTGGGCCAGGGAGGGGCATCAGGGGGCAGAAGGCGCCAGCCATCTCCTCCTAGAGTCCCAGGATACTGTTTCAGCGGACGCCTGCCCTCATGCCCTCTGCTCAGAGCTACGTCCCAGTGCGTGGGAGGGAGGCAGGAACCAGCCCTACTCCCAGCTGAAGGAGTCGTTCTGGCGCCGGATGTGAGTGTGGGGGCACAGCTGGCTCTACCTGTCAGAGACACATGGCACTGAGCGTCCATATGGAGGTGTCCCCGGGGCCCTCTGGGAGATTCGTGGAAGCCGTCAGCCTGCAGGGTGAGCTGAGCTTGGTCAGGGGAATCATTCGGGAAGACTGGACAGATCCAGATGGAACCCAGGGACCCCAGGACAGAGCGGGTGGAAGAGGCTGCGTCCTCACATTAGGGAAAGGGAGAAGAGCCTGGGGCATTGGGTGGAGAAGCGATGGGAGGGAGACAGCACCCGTGGCCCGGCCACCAAGGGTGGTGCATTCTCTCAGCTGCCAGTGGTCAGGATGGTCTCTGACTCACAGATGACGATTCCAAGGGTCTGAGTGGCCCTGTGTGTTCCCCAGCATCTCACAGTGGCAAATGGGCAGAGGCAGGGGCTGGACTGCCAGCGTCCCCCAGTTCATAGGTCGAAGCCCAGCCTCAAGTGTGATGGTGTTAAGAGCTGGGACCTTCAGGGGGTAACTGGGGCAAGATGAGGGGCTGAGGGTGGCCCCACGATGGATTCAGCCCTACATGAAGAGGAAGAAACCAGGCTCCTCTTCCTCCGCCTGCTGACACGGCGAGAGACAGCTGTCTGCAGACCAAGGAGCGGACCCTCCCAGGGAGCCCAGCCTTGCTCGTGCGCCTCAGGACTCCGGAATGTGAGCAAGGCGCATGCAGTGTAGGAGCCACCCAGCCACGGTTCTGTGATGGCCGCCGAGCTGATGGAGGCTGCAGAGTTGCGACTCCGGTCTGGGGGCCCCAAGGGCTGTCCCGCTACAGTGCACTGTCCCTACCCTGGATGACAGGAAGAAAAAAGAAACGCCCTGAGCTGCAGAGAGGACAGAGAGAGGGAAGGAACGGGTCCAGCGCATTCGCACAGGGCACGGTAAACCCTAACACCGCGGAGGCTCGGCCAGGAGGGAGCTCAGGTGTTCCAGGGAGAGGCTCTGGAAGACACGGCCTCGCCTGCCTTCCCCCGAAGCGGCTGGGTGTGCGCTGGCCTGCTCATCAGTCACCGGTATTGCGAGCGTCCCTCTCCCTGCAGGCATCAAGAGCTCGTCGTGTGTGATGGATGAGGCCACCAAGCCCAGGTCCCCTTCCTGGGTCCAGGAGGGCCCCTCCGGTGCACTGCCTTCAGGCAGCTCCCAAGAGCCTCGGGGTCTCTGCAGCTTTTGAGCTCCGCCGCCCTCACCTCCATCTAAGCTGCCCTCATTGACATCGGCCTGGCTCTGACTCAGATACAGGGAAGAGACAGGAGCAGACAGCTGATGGGGACAGTAGGGACACAGGGGCAGAGAGGAGTCTGGTTGCAGCCTGGTTCCGGCCCCAGCCTCCCAGGCCTGGTGACGTAGCCTCTGCGTGACTCACAGTGCAGGGAGCGTGTGGCTTCTGGCCCTGGCATGGAGGCCAGAAGGCATCTGCAGACCCTTACACAGTGCACCTGCTCCTCTGGGGTCACGGGCGCATCCAGTCTAGCAGGCACACGGGCCCTGGGCACGCCCTCAGCTCCGCGCTGGCCCGGGTCCTGGCTGCCTCCCATAGCTGGCCCCTGCCCTACCATGTCCTGGGAGGAGCCCTTGGGATTATCAGGAAAGTGTGGCCACAGGGCCTGGCTGCCTGTGGGGAGAAGAAAGAGACCACCCTGGGGAGGGAGAGGTAGGCAGTGGTTTTCCATAGAGAGATTTCCCACGGCTGCTGGGCCGAGGGCTATCGGGACCTCCTGTGTGCTGTGCATTAAATGCGCTCTTCCAGACTCAGATGCCAGCAGCGGCTGGAAAGGTCAGGTTTTCTGGTTGTTGCACCAAGTTCCTTGTGTTCATTTAAAAATAGTCATTGAATTTGGCCAGGCACAGTGGCTCACGCCTGTAGTCCCAGCACTGTGGGAGGCCGAGGCAGGCAGATCCCTTGACGCCAGGAGCTTGAGACCAAACTGGGCAACATAGTGAAACCCTATGTCTACAAAAAGAAACAAAAAAACGTCAGCCGGACATGGTGGCGTGCACCTGCAGTCCCAGCTACTTGGGAGGCTGAGGTGGGAGGATTGCCTAAGCCTGGGAGGTCAAGGTCGTAGTCAGCCGTGATTGTGCCACCACTCTAGCCTGGGTGACAACGTAAGACACTTTCTAAAAATAATAAGACGAATTGAATCTGGAATATAAGAAGAATTCCTGCAACCCAACAATTCAAAGATGATCCAATTCTAAAAATGGCAAAGGATTTGA